TCATTTATTTCCTGTAAAGGTCTTCCCCCAAATTAAATGGCTTCTTACCATCACTTTACTCTTGAAACATTTCTAGATTTGGTTAAGCAAAAATTTTAAAATTATTTCATTAAATTAAATAAAAGAATATTAAAAATAATAATTCTTGGCATTGACTAAGCTTAGCTTGGTATAAAACCAAATAGGAGGATTATGCTATACAAATACTACATATGGGAAGAGCCTGCCTTGAAAATTAGCATTGTACTAATTACTCTTTACTGGAATCTATTTACCAAACTGTCTCCAAATTTGGTTACTCATTTTTGATAATCATTTGGGCAAAGAAAGTCAATTTCTTGCATTGCATCAATAATTTCACCTCTTCAGATCAAATGTTACTCCAAATCTTACAATTAAATTAATTTCAAGATTTGAATAACTAAAAAGTCTCTCCAAGGTCAACATTAAAAACCAAAAAAACAATGCAGGCTGTGTAAGTAACCAAGTTTTTGCTTGTTAAGATAACAGAAGAATCAAATGACTTCAAAGATTTACTTTTAATTTGAATGTACAAAGTGAATAGAACTCAAATTTATATTAAAGAAAATAAAGTGTTCATTTAAATAATCTAAACTATTTCTTATAATTCTTGCTTCTTCTGAATAATTGTTCTGGAATTCTCCCTTCAAGAAGAAAATTCTCAAGTTATGGTTGACTGTTCAGTTTTGGTCACTTGAATTTCCTTCCTTAACATTCAACTGGAGTTTTTTTCTTTTTCTGCATAAACAGCCAAAATTGCCAGAAAATGAAACATTTGTGTTTCTATTTTAATGTTAAAATTTCATGATAATTGTACTGATAAACATTCCTCCTTGGTGTCTCAACTACATGAATTTAAATGTGCTACTAGATTGGCAACTAGGTCTCATCATTTCACTGTTGAACCAGTTAGATACAACTGTCTGTTCTATTCTAAGTTTCTTCCCTTACACTTCTTGCCTGTGGAACTCTCTTCTGATTTCTTGCTTCTGTGCCACCCACAATCTTCAAAAATTTAAATGCAGCGCCAATTGCCATTTTCTGTCTTCTTGAATCCTGTTGTTTTATTGTATTTTCACCTCACTAAACACTTCTCATTCACTTCCACTCCATGTAACACCTTGAGTATTAGAGGCATTATTGCCATGCTTGGGATGAAATGATTTTAAAAAAGAAATTCAATGTGAAAGGGAAATAAAATCTATTAACTGGGATTTTCCCAAGAAATAATAATAACTTCCAAATTATAATGTTTTGTTTACAAAATCTTTAAAAAGTAAAAGATTATGAACGACTTTTAAGAATTTTTCCAATTTAGACAATACTTTGGACTGACATTCTGTTCATTTTTATTGTTTGAAAGATTTTACAAGAACCTTTGTTTACATTTCACATTAAATGGAATTGAGCTCAGTTAAAAGATATGCTCAAGTAAAAAGGACCTATGATGATACTTATAAAAAGAGAAAAGCAGTAAATTCATAAATTACTATTATTCTTAAAAAAATTAAAAAATAATTAAAAAAAAAATAATTAAAAAAAATATTTATGTACAGAAGTGAAAATATTCATTTGACAAAGTAGTTTCATATTTACAGATTTAAAAGAAAAATTCCCACAAGAAATAAATTATTTTTTTCTTTACTTGGTGAATTATTATTTTAAAAAAATAAAACTAAAAATTAAGTAAAATATGTTTTAGCAATTTTTAAATTATACATTGATTTGTAAAAACAAGAAAATTATTCATGCTAAAAAGAATATATACAGATTTTCATAGGATATTCAGTTAATATGCAGTAATTTAGAAATTTCACTGAAATTTGTATTCACTTCTATGAAGGAAAATAATTTTGTCATTAGAAATAATGTAAAATATTTACAAATCTATGTCTGTAAAGTATTTACTATATAAATATTGGATGGATAACTTTTTGGTGATTATTGGATCATTCAATATGTATTGAGGCTCATAAATGTCATCCAAGTTAATAAATGTGATGTTAGATTATAATTCTTCAGTTTAGCATTGCATAAAAATGCACAAATCTTTGTAAAGAATGATATAGGAAAAAAATTACATTACACTATTTACATTATTCAGACTATTGTCCTCATCTTTGTCGCCATATTTATTATAATGTTTCGGCTGTTGTACACTCTGACCTTCTTCAGGTGGTTCGAATGTCAAACTGAACCCTTTATTTCACTCACTAGGGTAGACTGTTCTAGTTCTACGTGCCATGGCACATGACACAATGGATAAAGGCATTAGTTAGATCCAATGGCAGGACCCAAAGAGTGTTAGTTCAATACCTGGTTTAGGCAGTGGAGAATTTGGAGAGGGGAATTAAGAAGAGATAACTGATGACATCCATTAGACATGAAACATTGTAATAAATATGGCAACAAAGATGAGGACAATAGTCTGAATAATGTAAATCGTGTACATAATACCTCATCTCAGAAATATAGACAGACACTGAAACAATTACATCTTTTCATGATTTGAAATTATTGACATTTTGATGGCACTAACTTGTGGAAATTTTTGTTGCATGAGATATGCAAGAAGAGCTATTTGAATTCATTTTAGCATTCATGTTGTGGAAAGGGGAAATATTTTTCCCAGTCACAGTAAATAAGTGTTTTCAATTTATCCTTGCTTCTCAAAACTTCCTACCATACAATTTATTCTGCTCCATAATTTACTTCTTTTGATAGCTGAAAGGCCTCCATTTGCACAAAAAGTTGGGAAATTTTTTCAATTCATTTCAGTAATCATTCAGTTAAATATTTTCAGAATTTCTACATGATATGCTTTATTTTTTTCAAAATTTAATGGACAGAGCTTTAAATTTTTGATAAGTAAAATATATGGCATAATATAGTGCAAATTTTACCAACATAAAATAAAAATATCAGTTTTATTGTGAAAATATTGAGTTGCCTAATAAAATCTGACATCAAGAGATTCTGAAATTTGAAGAATCTGGAATTATCAAAGGGGAAAAATCAAGCATCTAACCTTTAGCACTCGGTATTAATAATATTACTTCTTTCCATTGCATTCTTTTACAAGACCTCTCAATTGCAGTAACCTTATTATTAATTTCACTTTTCAAAGGTGTTTTTGTTGCCATAGCAGGGTATGACAACACAACTATGAAATTCAAACAAATTCAAATTCAAGTACTGGAGTCAACTTCAGTGACAAAATAAACTTATTGCACAGTAAATGAAGTCAGATACACAGTGATAAAGGTTAGTAACTAAGCAAACATTTACAAGATGAGTTCTTTTGGATGTTTCCTTTAAGTATTGATTTTTCCTAATGATTAAGGAGGGTCCCTGCAGCTAATAATCATAAAAAGTGATAACAGAAAACAAAACAGGACAAATATCAATGCTTTTGAGAAAGCATAGACCCAAGAAGGAATTGCTTCTTAGATAAGAGTGAAATAATTTCTTCAAGGAGAAAATTGTGGATCCAGAGAATTAAGTAATTCTCTTGTTTTAATTATCTCAGCCAGGTTGGAACAGTTAACAAATACAAATATGAACGTAAGTTGTTTAGAAGGTTTACTTTTGAAAGCATCTGGACATTGAAAATATAAGATAGCAAATAAATATTAACAAATCTGCAGAACAGAAAGGAAAGAAAAATGATCACCAGAAATGTATAGAAATATAGAAAGAAAATTTTAAAGCTCAATAGTTTGGTAAGGAAAAAAAAAAAACTTGATTTTAATCCATTTTGATTTTTGAGAACATGGAAAAAAACAGCAAAATTTCAGTTTCAATATTAAAAGAAGAAAAGACTATCATCAGAGAAAGTATGAAAATTATGTTACAACTCTGATAGTTGCTTCCACCATAATGTTTTTCTTTTTCTTATATTCTATCACACTCAGTAATCCCCTGTACCTTAGTGGCTTTATTGCCTTGGTTGGAGTGAAATGATTAAAAATACAAAATTGGATTAAAAAAATGGAAATGAAGAAAACAGTAAATATCTAAAAACTTTCAAAGTGTTTCCTGATTATCAAAATTGCAAAAGATGTAAAAATAAATAAAATGTTTTAAAACTATCGAAGAAATAAAAATAGAAAAACAAGGAAAATCTGAAAAGAGAATTCTTTTGGAAAAGGACTAACTAAGCAACAGAAAGATTATTCAGGGTTTTTTTGTTTTTTTTTGCCATTTAATTCATAGGGAAAAAAATCAACAAAATTGAGTTAATGACATTGTTCTTGAATAGTGAGATGAAGAAATAAAGAAGGCATAGTTAGTAACTTAGTAGAAAAAGAAATTTTATATAAAAAAGAGATGAAGATAAATACTGGTGACAATGGTGATTAGAGATGAAGAGAGGCAAAAAGAAGAGGAAATCAAATAAATATGATGAGAGATGTAAAAAAAAGGGAAGAAAACAGGATAATAGAAGAAAAGGAAAGAAAAATTCTTGCAAGATAAAAAAAGGAATGAGACATGATTAGAAAAGCATCAGGCTTAATAAGAAAATGGAAGATGACATACAAAGGAATGAAGAAGAAAGCTATATGATGAATGATATATAGAGTTGATGAAGAAAAGGAATGAATACATAGACAATGAAAGGAGCATGAGAATGAAGAAGAAAATAAAGGAAAACATCTTTAATGCTGAATAAGAAAAGGAAAGAAGGCATGCTTAGAGATGTAGAGGAATAAAAGAAGGTAAATATAATGTGTGATGTACAGTAATGAAATTTGGAGAAGAAGAAGAAGAAAAATAAAGAAAAATTTAGAATGAAGAAAATCAATAAGACATATCTTAAGAGACATGTAGCAATGAAAAAGGGAAGGGAAAAGATTAAATTGAAAATAAAAAGGGATGAAGAAAAAGCATATGATAAAAAATGTATAGGAATGTTGTAGAAAATAAAAGATGACATACAATTAGAGATGTAAAGGGATGAATGAAAAGAAGAAAAAATACTAGAAAAGGAATGAAGAAAAAATACAGTTAGGTGTAAGTATTAAGAAAAAAGATGGCATATGATGGAAAATTCCAAAGGATGAAGAAGAAAATGAAGGAAAAGTAAGATGTATAGGGAGGAAGAAGAAAATGGAAAAGGATGTGGCAATAGGTGTATAAAAATAAAAAAAAGAAGGTAAAGAATCAGAGGTAATGAAAGATGGATAATGATGAAGAAAATTAAAGATGAAAAAAATAAAAAAGAAGAAAACATGAAAAAGGAATGAAAAAGAAAATAAAAAAAAGATGTAATGAAAGATGGGATGGAAAAAGTGAAAGATAACATTCAAAGAGGTATAAGGTTGAAAAAGAAAATGAAAAAGAAAGCATATGATGAAAGAGATATAGGGTTGAAGAAGAAAATGAAAAAGAAGGGATATGATGAAAGAGATATAGGGTTGAATAAGAAAATGAAAAAGAAGGGATATGATGAAAGAGATATAGGGTTGAATAAGAAAATGAAAAAGAAGGGATATGATGAAAGAGATATAGGGTTGAAGAAGAAAATGAAAAAGAAGGCATATCATGAAAAAGAGATATAGGGTTGAATAAGAAAATGAAAAAGAAGGGATATGAAAAGAGATATAGGGTTGAAGAAGAAAATGAAAAAAGAAGGGATATGATGAAAGAGATATAGGGTTGAAGAAGAAAATGAAAAGAAGGCATATCATGAAAGAGATATAGGGTTGAATAAGAAAATGAAAAGAAGGGATATGATGAAAGAGATATAGGGTTGAATAAGAAAATGAAAAAAAAGGGATATGATGAAAGAGATATAGGGTTGAAGAAGAAAATGAAAAAGAAGGCATATCATGAAAGAGATATAGGGTTGAATAAGAAAATGAAAAAGAAGGGATATGATGAAAGAGATATAGGGTTGAAGAAGAAAATGAAAAAGAAGGGATATGATGAAAGAGATATAGGGTTGAATAAGAAAATGAAAAAGAAGGGATATGATGAAAGAGATATAGGGTTGAAGAAGAAAATGAAAAAGAAGGCATATCATGAAAGAGATATAGGGTTGAATAAGAAAATGAAAAAGAAGGGATATGATGAAAGAGATATAGGGTTGAAGAAGAAAATGAAAAAAAAAAAGAAGGGATATGATGAAAGAGATATAGGGTTGAAGAAGAAAATGAAAAAGAAGGCATATCATGAAAGAGATATAGGGTTGAATAAGAAAAAATGAAAAAAAGGGATATGATGAAAGAGATATAGGGTTGAATAAGAAAATGAAAAAGAAGGGATATGATGAAAGAGATATAGGGTTGAAGAAGAAAATGAAAAAGAAGGCATATCATGAAAGAGATATAGGGTTGAATAAGAAAAAAAAAAGAAGGGATATGATGAAAGAGATATAGGGTTGAAGAAGAAAAATGAAAAAAGAAGGATATGATGAAAGAGATATAGGGTTGAATAAGAAAATGAAAAAGAAGGGATATGATGAAAGAGATATAGGGTTGAATAAGAAAATGAAAAAAGAAGGCATATCATGAAAGAGATATAGGGTTGAATAAGAAAATGAAAAAAAGAAGGGATATGATGAAAGAGATATAGGGTTGAAGAAGAAAATGAAAAGAAGGGATATGATGAAAGAGATATAGGGTTGAATAAGAAAATGAAAAGAAGGCATATCATGAAAGAGATATAGGGTTGAATAAGAAAATGAAAAAGAAGGGATATGATGAAAGAGATATAGGGTTGAAGAAGAAAATGAAAAAAAGGATATGATGAAAGAGTATAGGGTTGAAGAAGAAAATGAAAAAGAAGGGATATGATGAAAGAGATATAGGGTTGAAGAAGAAAATGAAAAGAAGGCATATCATGAAAGAGATATAGGGTTGAATAAGAAAATGAAAAAAGAAGGGATATGATGAAAGAGATATAGGGTTGAATAAGAAAATGAAAAAGAAGGGATATGATGAAAGAGATATAGGGTTGAAGAAGAAAATGAAAAAGAAGGCATATCATGAAAGAGATATAGGGTTGAATAAGAAAATGAAAAGAAGGGATATGATGAAAGAGATATAGGGTTGAAGAAGAAAATGAAAAAGAAGGGATATGATGAAAGAGATATAGGGTTGAATAAGAAAATGAAAAAGAAGGATATGATGAAAGAGATATAGGGTTGAATAAGAAAATGAAAAAGAAGGCATATCATGAAAAGAGATATAGGGTTGAATAAGAAAATGAAAAAGAAGGGATATGATGAAAGAGATAGGGTTGAAGAAGAAAATGAAAAAGAAGGGATATGATGAAAGAGATATAGGGTTGAATAAGAAAATGAAAAAGAAGGCATATCATGAAAGAGATATAGGGTTGAATAAGAAAATGAAAAAGAAGGGATATGATGAAAGAGATATAGGGTTGAAGAAGAAAATGAAAAAGAAGGGATATGATGAAAGAGTATAGGGTTGAAGAAGAAAATGAAAAAGAAGGGATATGATGAAAGAGATATAGGGTTGAAGAAGAAAATGAAAAAGAAGGCATATCATGAAAGAGATATAGGGTTGAATAAGAAAATGAAAAAGAAGGGATATGATGAAAGAGATATAGGGTTGAAGAAGAAAATGAAAAAGAAGGGATATGATGAAAGAGATATAGGGTTGAAGAAGAAAATTAAAAAGAAGGCATATGATGAAAGAGATATAGGGTTGAAGAAGAAAATTAAAAAGAAGGCATATGATGAAAGAGATATAGGGTTGAAGAAGAAAATGAAAAAGAAGGCATATCATGAAAGAGATATAGGGCTGAAGAAGTAGACGTAAAAGAAGGCATATAATGAATGAGTTATAGGATTGAAGAAGATTTAAAAAAACTGATGAAATATGTGCAGGAAACTTATACAGGAATTTTCTCATGAAAAAGTCACATGAAGAAAGATGTATCAGGTTGAAAAAGAAAATGTAAAAAACACATGCAATGATAGTTGTAAGTAAAGGGATGAAGAAGTGAATGAAAATGTCACATGTGGCAAAAGATCAATAGAGATGTTGATAAAAAGAAAAGAAAGAATAACTCATGTAACAGAGAAATGAAGACAAATGTTGAAATATCTTTCATCTTTATTAAATTACTGCAACAACATATTCTTCTGTTGGCTATAAATCTCTAATTTGTGATGCTTTGGTGAAATTTCAATTTTACTCAACTTCTAATATAATGAGAATGTTTTTTTACAAAAGTTAACATTTAGTGCTCTATATCATCTTTAAATAAATCTTCCACTTTTACTGAATATGGAATCTTCTCAAAACATGGTCTTATATATTCTATATATTTGAAATTGTAGTAGTCTGATTCTCAGTTTCAGTCAAGATTGTTTTAGATGATGCCATAGAAGGATTTGACTACACAACTAAGAAATTCAAATTCAACTTGCATTGGTAGGACTAACATTTTGTTTGGTGAAAATAGTCACCTACATAGTGCTAAAGGTTCTAAAAACTTCTTTGTAAAAGATTTTGACTTAATTTACTCTTAGAAATTATATTACAATTTCAACCTGCATAAATATTTTTTTTGATCACTCAGATTTAGAAATATAATCCAACATGTATAGAACTTCTATGTAGACCAAATGAAAGGATATTTGAATAAAAATATCAGTTTTATTGTGAAAATATTGAGTTGCCTAATAAAATCTGACATCAAGAGATTCTGAAATTTGAAGAAACTGGAATTATCAACGGAAAAATCAAGCATCTTCTTTAGCCTTTAGCACTCTGTATTAATAATATTACTTTCCTTTCCATTGCATTCTTTTACAAGACCTCTCAATTGCAGTAACCTTATTGTTAATTTCACTTTTCAAAGGTGTTTTCTGTTGCCATAGCAGGTTATGACAACACAACTATAAAATTCATTGATTTGTTTTTTGCAGCTTATCTACCTTTGTGAGTTATTTAATGAACTTTTTAATGAATAAATTAAATTGGAATTTATTAATTAAAAACAGTGTCTAAGAGAAGTTTTTTTTTAACTGTTTGTATAAAAGTAAATCTAAAAATATATTTCTTGGTAATTTATTGCTGAGATAATGTATGATTTGATTTGTAGGTAGATATTCCTAAAGTGAAATAGATTAAAAAAGGACAACATGAACTTTCTGAAGGACAAGAGGGGGAGGGTCAAATAAAGACAAGGTTTGTGATGATCCCCCCACCACAACATGTCACACCACACTATGATCAATAAATGAACACAATTTCAGAGAATTCCAAAAGATTGCTTCAAGCAGACAAATGTCTTTATGAGAAAAACTATTTACCAGTTTTTGAAGCAAGAATTAATCTACTTTTGTAGAGCTATGAGCATTGTGGATTCTACAAGATTATCTAAATCGGGTGTTGTGGGGGACCTAGAAGATTTGACATCCACCTGGCAAAAGTGTGGAGCCTAAGCCATTTAATGTTGTAAACTAAAGAGAACCTTTCTCACAATGATGGATATATTCCTAAAAGTAATGCATAATCTGCCAGACAGTAGAAAGTTATTCAGAGATTATGTTGTGTATACAAACTGCACTCAGTCTTAAGGAGTTAAACTGAGCTGAGTTTTATTTGAAATTAATACTCTTTTTGCTAGGAAAAAGCTGAAAATACTTTTAAAAGAATATACAAACTTATTTGATATGTCAAACTGATATGTAAATCATTTTTGAAGCCAATTATTCAGATTCTGATATTTTCACTGTATAATGGAATCAGTTGGGTTGATGAGAAACAAGAGCAGTATTAGTAGTAGTATTATGGAGGCCCGGTGGAGTAATGGATAGCAGCTCAGATCGAGGAATCAGAGAGCCGAGTTCAAATTCCAGTTGAATCCATTACATTCACTTACAGGAAAGGTATGAATCCTATAAGTGTTCAGTGTTTTGGCTGACATGGGATATCTTTTGATTATTGTATTATTATTTTATTAATATGATTCCAGTTATTCAATCTATAGAGTGAGAGCATGTGAGTTTAAACCCTAGATCAGCTAATGAAACAATATATGTACTGACTTAGAAGGAATTAACAATAACTGGCATCACATGGTCAAAATAATAATACAAGAATCAACAGATATCATATATCAACCAAATAAAAGGATGATGGCCAGAGGGTACATGGCCAAAACATTGTGTCTATAATAATATCTATAACAACCAAAATGAAAATATTAATTTAAAATAAAGTATATTAACACTTACTCATCTCAAAAATTAAAAATTATCTAAATTAATAGAATTACCTTTTGTTGTACTTTTCATTGGTAATATTTTTATTGAATATAAATAAACATAATAAGATGTGGTACAGTGGAGTAATGGATAGTGGCTCAGATTGAGGAAACAGGGAGCTGAGTTCAAATTTCATTCGGATCCCTTACATTCACCAACATGCCTTGGGAAAGGTATGAATCCTCTTCTTCTCCCCCCAGCTATGGGTAAATAGCAGGAAAGACTGGATTCTTATTATACCTGAATGTACCTATTCTATTATTAATAGACACTCCCAGACATAATAAGTAGTAGTAGTAGTAGCGGTCACCAGTTGAGCTCAGTGGAATTGAGTGAGTCAGTTGATGTCGGACATTGAAGTATCAACCATCACAACTAGATTGCTGCGTCATTAACTCTTATTTCAAGTTCCTAATGTTTTGTATGTCGGACCCTTTTTAGAACCGACTTAGTGAAATACAAGCCTCCACTGTGAAAACTACTCTACAACAGTTCTATAGCCTTGGATGGCAACTGGTCTAGGGGAGGGACAATTCTGAATTGAAAAACCTGCAGAGAGTCAGTTGGGGACCTTGTGGCACATGGTGCACCAGGTCTTTGTATTCGGCTCTTCAAAAAGTGTGGTTGGTTCTGTACAAAGCCTTCACCACAGTAATCAAATGATTTCTGCAGGGAGTCTGGCTGTCAGTTTCTAGGAACTGAGTTGCTTGACACTCATATGTCAAAAACTACATGAGAGTCCATTATAAATAAACATATCAATTGGTGATAGTAACAGAACAATACTAACAATTTAGAAAAAGCATATAAAGGACATATAAATTCTTGAAAAATTTAATTGGTCTTTGAATTCTTTTGTATAACATGACTAAACAGTGTTTTTATCTTTATTAGTGCAAAAATAAGATTAAAATGCATAAAATGCATATCAGTATTGTCAGATTTTGTGGTTATATATATATATATATATATATATATATATATATATATACGTCTCATACAGGTGTGCACACAAATTTACATATAACATACAAATAAAGGAGGGTTTAGTAAAGACTGAACATAATCATGTTAAACCACAAAATAGTCACTGACACGTGTGAAGGCATAAGATCAGCATTTGACTATCCCTTCTTCCTTTCAACCTCCCCCCCCCACACTCATTATTAGTGCATTTTAACTTTTGTCAATTCAGGTCTCATGTAAACTTTGAAAATGTGCATACACACATGCGTGCAGACATAAAATATTAAACACTGCTTGATGTTTTCCTTTTCTCAACAGTTATTTGGTACACACTAGTAGAAAATGACAACATGTATGAGTTTTTATTGCACTCGACAGGCCACAACACAGATGAGCAAATGGACAACATAAATCTGGAGAAAATAGTCACACATCTCCTTTCTTGTTCTTGTCATATTTGTTGCCCACAAAGATATGGAATATTTAAAAGAGAAAACAAAATTTTTGAGATGAATAAGTGTTAATATACTTTATTTTAAAATAATATTTTTATTTTGGTTGTTATAGATATTATAGACACAATGCTTCAGCCATGTACCCTACATGGAAGAAAACTTCAAAGTACAACACTTTATACATAATCACCTACATTCTGAAATGGCAGAATGAAACACTAAGTAACTTACCTAATGAGATAGTGTAAATGGATAGCAGAACAGGGTCTAGGAGAGATAGTAAGAAGACAAATATTACTTAATGCTATAAATAATAGGAAGTT